TATGTGGTGCTGAGGAATCGAACCCAGGGCCTCGAGCATGCAAGGCAAGCGCTCTACCACTGAGCCACCTTCCCAGCCCTGAACTGCTTGTTCTTAATTGCTTATGACTCCCAATTTTTAAAATCAAAGCAAGTGTTCAACTCTGGAGTGACTCTTTGCGTAGATCTGCAACCAGATCACTTAAATACTACTAATACCAGTGAAAGATGCTTAGCTGTTCCTTGTCCAGCCTCTTCTGTCATTTGATAACCAAAAGTTCTCAACCTTGCTCTTCATTGTTACATTGTCTCACTTTCTCCATCTCTCATCCTTTTGCTTTAGACTCCTCAAAAATTTTGGCATACTAAGGTCCACAAGTACAATATCACTAAGCTCTTGATAAATATTTGAGTGAGTGATGCTACTTATATTCTCGATGTCCTCAGAATGTAGAATTTTGATGGGTAATACTTAACATTTTAGAGTTTAGATTAGGCCACTGGAGAGTTGGTCAGGTCTCTTCATATTTCAAGTGAGGCAGAGAATAAAAACAAAATATCCTCCATTTAGTCCAGTTTGATAAAAAGAAAACACTGAAAGAAAACATTGTTACATGCATACATTCCACTTCAATTTCAGTAACGAATCAGCGACCTCAGTTGAAGGACTGATGGTTGAAGAGTTGCAGCCCTTTCCAGGCATCAAACAGAGCCTCCTGGGAACATCCAGCCTTGTTCTACCCCTTCTCTGGAAGAAAGTTCACAGTTTTATCCCATCCAGCCATTTTTTTTTCCAGGAGGGAGGTGTCTAGTTTTCAGTGCCCCAAGTGGGGACCAAATGGGTAATCCCCGCATATTTGGGGGAATGATTGTTCGTGGGCTAGAATTTCATCAGTGCCTAGCCCACAAGAAGCTTATAAATATGTATGTAACCATTGACACACTGTGAAATGGTCAGAAGAGGATTATGAAGCTGTAACTCCCACCCCTTTTTTGTACAACTACTTGAAATTTTTAAAACTACAAAATAATTTTTTTAAGGAAACACGACACGTGAGCAATAGAAGGTGGTTGTGAGGCGAGTCATTTCCCAGCCCTTCTAGATTGGAATTGGCTTAGAAAGGCTTGGGGTAGGGAGCAAATCCAGACAGCTGTCAGTGTATCACATGCTCATTGACAATGCCACATGCCTAAGGTGATTCCATAAATGAACGGTGTCGATCTAAATTAGGAACATGGCAGCCATTTTATAAATAAGACAGAGGTGCCTCAGTCCTCAGAACTGGAGACACTTGTTAACATGTACATAAAGCTTCTCAGTCTATCCCCAACAACAACAACAAAATATATATTCTACATGTATTACAAACAACTTTCAGTGATCATAGGTAGTTTGTTACTTGGCTCAGTTCTGACGAAGTGCAGGGTGGTTGTTGCCCTCTTGCCTTCTAACTGGAACATGAGCCTTATCAAAGTATAGACACCACAGTGCAATGAGACTGACACAAAACTTATCTACCACAGTCTCTGATAAGGCAGGAATGTGCTTTCAAATCTCCCGAACATGGTCTTTCTCATGTCTCACCACCGTATTTCTTCACTTGCTTGTCTAGGGGTATAATAGTATGTTCTAAGACTTTTCTTGTGGGTTGGTATCTCATTGGCTGTTGGTCCAATATCTTGACTCTTCAATGAGAAAGCAAAAACACTCACCAAAGGCCTATTAAACACGCTGTGTCATCTCAACGCTCTCTGAAGAGAGACTCATTAGTTGATATATCAGATACCCTATGCTTAAAAGGCACAGGACAGATAACAAAACCATAAGACTTATCAGAGAGTGAAGAAATTGTGCCTGTGTGTGTGTGTGTGCATGTGCTTGTGCACATGTTTGCATTTTCTCATGGAAGGAAGTGACAAGAGGTATCCCATGAAGCCTTTTAGGGAACATTAAAAAAAAAATCTACCATCGGTTGTGTTAGTTTTCCTTCCTCTCTTCACCTGAAAAGAACCACTAAAAAGTCTAAGTAACTTCAAGAAAATCACATTGGTTTATTTTTTTCTGCTGGTACCCAGGGGAAAGAGCAAGTCTGAATGTCTGGGGTGGGTAGTGAATAAGGGGAGTTATGGAAGGGAAGAGGTGCCTCACAGCCACTCTTGAGCAAAAGGAGAGAAAGGGAAGGGATCCACTGGCCAATGGAATTCATTATCAAGGACAGCAGCTTCAGAGCGTGGTAGTGAGAGCCAGTTTTCTAGGGTTTGATCCTCCTGGTGTCCTTTCTGTCCTGCCTAGCCTAGTATAGAAAGACTGAAACTGAACTAGACATGGTTTCTGCTAATGCCCTGGCAATTTAAACATCAGGTTTGCCTGAAATTGTGCCTATGTGGAAGACTTTTCTCAATGATCAATGACCAATGGCACATTAAGATTCTGATGTTAAGAAAGCTGATGGATACCCACAAAGAAGATCCAATAGCAATCCTCAGTTCAACCTCCATTGTTCCCAGCTACAAAACTGATAAATCAGTATAGTGGTAGGCAGAGTTCCGAGTTAATGAGAGCCACAGCCAGAAAGTCTACCTGGGTGGTGCCAGTCTTAGGGTTTGCTTGATTACAGATTCTGCCTTTCTATGCTGGTATAGAGTCATCTTGAGCAGGTCTGCAAGATCCCAGGGCAACAACTTGTGGTGACATTTACTGACTTGGGAATCTAATTGCACCCTATTTTGCTTCTTTTAACAAAGCTTATTAGTAAATGAATCTAAAACAACACATGCTTTAAAGAGTGTTAAGAAGCATGAAGAAGGCCTTCAAATCTCAATAGCAACGTTTCCTGACACGCAATGGATTTTTCTTTCTTTCAAAGGACATTCTCACAGCCAGCTCTCAGCTGTAATGGATTATGGAAATGGGGGAGGACTACAACTCACCCAGATTTCAATGGCAGCAAACATTCCATCCTCTTCCTTTGCCTAACCTTTCCTTCTTGCTCATATGACCTTATCTCAATTTTACCTTTGGATCCTTCCCTTGGCCACTCTTCTAGAAAATGGGATCATTAATGAATGGTCAAAGGCTAGAAAAAAGAAAAGTCGGAGGTCAAAATAAGCTCACGCTTAGGTAATCTGTGCCTGGGAGATGGCCCTGTAAATAACTTCCAGATAGGTCATGACATTCTTTCGCAGACACCTGCAGGTGAATGGACATCATTCTATTTGCCTCCCACTTCCTCCATCCAGAATCACTGATCTCCGCTGGGGCTGGTAAAAACAACTGGTTGATGTCTCCAGTCTTTGGCCATTCTTAGGGATGGTCATTTTATTTCTAAGGGTAACCCCTTCTGGTGTGACCCATGTGTTTTCAGCCAACTCTCCACAGAGAAGGCCAGGGGAAACTGTCTGAGTGGGACTTCTGATAGGGGACAGCAGGACCTTGGAATCTGTCACTGTGGATGAGGGGGGCAGGTGGTCCATGATCGGGAAAGGAGGACTGAATAAGATGAGGCTCTGAGGTCTTCCAGACCTTGGCCTGTGGAAAGACTTAGGACCTCCAGAGGACCGCTCAATTTTTGAAGAAAGAGGGTTGTCCCCGGATGGCTCTGTGTCTGACAAACGCTTTCTGCATTGCACTGTTGCGTCCTGGTTGGTGAGCAGGTTACACATGCCTGGTTCGGGAGAGAGATTGGGTCCCTCGCGCAGGCAAGAGTCAGTGGCGTCTATCAATGAAGCCTTAATGGGTCCCATATCTTGCTTTGGTTTCTCTTCCTTTGGGCTTTCCAAGGAAGAGGAAGATTCATCTTTGGCTGGTTTCTGAGTGGTCTCACCCGTTGAACTAGGTTCTTCTTGGCTCTTCTTCAGAGGCTGAGCCCCACTCTCCCCTGTGTTCTGAGAAGGCAGGGGCTGTGGGATTTGTGTGTACTGAATCTTGGGTGGGATGACCGGTACTGCCTTGGCCTGACACATTTTCACCATGAAGGAGGTTCTCACCGCTGACACACTCACAGGAGCCGAGTTACGGCGACCAGTGAGGGCGTGAGGAAAAACATCCAGGTCCTGGGTGTCTTGAGGATAAACCTTCCAGGAATCTGCTTTACATTGAGATGAAGTCATCCAGGGGACTTGGGTGTCTCCTGGCTCAGAGAGCTGCATTCCAGGTGAACTTAACGAGGCTCCATTCTCAAGCCGGAAGAGGTCAGTAATGGGAACAGCAGAGTCCAAGTTGAGAGAAGAAGGTCTGTTTTTCCCTTTTGAGGGTCCACCCTCACTGCTCTTCAACTGTAACTTTGGGGGTTGCTCTTCAGGTAAAGTGCTGTCCTGAATACCACGGGAACTTTCCTTGTTGGGTTCTGCTTCAGGGACACTGCCTTGCTTAATCTGGGAGTTGTTGTGCCTTAGTGGTTGCCCCTGATTTCTCTCCCCTAAGCTGATGGGGCTGGAGTCTGCTGGTTTGGGTTGTCCATTGTCTGCTCCCTTCGGCCTAGGAAATCCTTCTTCCCCTTTTAGGCCAGAGAACTCTCTAAATGACTTCAGGGCTCTCTCGTCCCATCCAATCATCCCTCTTCTGGTTGCCAGTGGCTGCTGACTGTCAGAATTCTCAGAGTCCAGATTAGCACAGCTGCTGGAGAAGGAGACATCATCGAGAGTCCACTGGCTCTTAACAGTGGTCTTGCTATCCAGAGAATGGCTCTGGCGTAGGCTGGGCCTGTGGCAAAGCCTCCTTTCCAATCGATGGCTCTGGGGGCCCTGAGGCTGGGCCTCGTGCACTTCTTTGAGGGTGGGAGAGTGAAGGGGACTCGTCACCCACTGAGGCTCCTCCCAGGGCTCCACCATCTCCAGGCTGTGCTGAGCGATGTCGGGCACACTGTCATCTTCGTCACAGTCTGAAGGCTCCTGTACTGAATGGGTTACATCCCCCTTCCCTTGCGGCGAGATCTCGAGCTCTTTCGTTGGGCTGGGGAAACCAGAACCTTTTTCCTGGAGAGCAGCATTTTTTGAATGTGGCTTTTCATTTTGTCTTGGAGCAGCCTCATCTTCCTGACAGGGGATAGGGGTCCCAGGATTGTCTTTGGACTTTGGCTGCTCTGTATAGGAATAGGTCCTCAACATCTGAGTCAGATCTTCTTCCTCAAGACTGCCCTTGGACAGCAGGCCTCCAGGTGGCTCCTCCAGAGGTGTTGGAGGGGGAGCAGCAGGAGGGAGTGGAGGAGAGATATTCTCTGGGCCTTCCACCTTCATCCTTGGGGGCGAGGATGACTTCTCAAATGGAACTATTGCCAGAGGAGCCAGACTGCCAGGATCTGGACTTGGGGCCTGTTCAGGTGAGGATGCAGGGAGGTAGCTGGTTGGCTCCAGCTTCTCTCTGTGGGCTGCTGCGGCAGCCCCTTGTGTGTTCTGAATGGTTGAGTCCTTAGTCCATGCCTCAGAAGGGGTGGAGCTACAATACAAGATCCCTGGAGGCTCTGGGGAAGGAAACGACTCTGGATTTGACTCAAGAACTGGCTGAGTTGGGTCGAACTTCTGAGCAGGGGGTGGTGGCAAGATGGAGAGCTCCTCCTCAGATTCAATGATTTTCAGCTCCTGTTGAATTTCTGGCCAGTTTAGGACATTAGCCAGATCATCTTCATCCTGACAAAAACAAGAAACTGATTTGCAAATCCTCCCACCTCTATTTCCACAGCTTGGGTAAAGCCACCCTCTTTTCTCACCTCATTTGCCACATCCTAACTGGCATCCCTGGCTTGTCTCTTACCCTGCCCAAGCATTCACCTCCCAGAAGAGTGGCCCTTTAAGGACAGAATTCCAAACATAACATGTTCAGAATGTTTTCCATTGGCCTGAAGTTCATCTTTAATCCCATTCTTTCAGTGTCTCAAGCTCTCTTTTCCCACCTTAGGTTCACGGTACATTTTGTTCTTTCTGCCTGGAAGTCTCTGTCTCACATCTCTAAGATCACATCCTCTACCCCTTTGTCAAGGGAGTTTCTCAACCTCTTAGCTATTCTTCAGAGAAACCCTTGCCGATCCTGGTGACAATCCTCTCTTCCTTCTAACTAGTGAGAGAACAGATTATAAAGGCTGGGAAGGCAATCAGAGCAAACCTCCCGCTCCCCAGGTCTATATCCCTCATGCAGTCAGGGATACAGGCTTTAGATATCACAAGATGGCCCGCTGCCCCAAGAAGACCCTCATGTGAACAGTGGAATGATTAGATGAAGGGGTCCCATCAGTGGACCCTAGGGAATCACATCATATCTTCCTTAGGTAAAGACATCTCATAAAAACCTTGGAACAGTCTACCACTAATGAGTTAACAAGGAAGGCTGGGTACCAGTGACTCATGCATGTAATTCTGGCTACTTGGGAGGCTGAGAGAGAAAAGGTAGTGATTTGAGAGGCCAGTCTGGGCCAAAAAGTATATGAGATCTTATCTTGAAAATAACCAGCAGGCTGGGAAGGTAGCTCAGTGGTAGAGTGCTTACCTTGTAAGCATGAGGCCCTAGGTTCGACTCCTCAGCACCACATAAGCAAAAAGAAAAAAGCCGGAAGTGGCACTGTGGCTCAAGTGGTAGAATGCTGACGAGCTCAGGGACAGAGTGCAGGCCCAGAGCTCAGGCCCTACAACCAACAATAACAACGACAACAACCCCCCCCCAAAAAAAAAGGAAGAAAAGAAAAAGAAAATAACCAGCACCACCATCACAGGTGGTGATCACATCTGGAATTGGAATTTCACACACAGGTTTTGTGCTGTTTTTAGGATTTACTGTCATTACATTCCAAGAATATATCACTGGTTTATGGTGACCAAGGCCAGAAAGACTTAAACATTGAACCTGTCCTTGGGAACCTGAGCTAGGTGGTCCCTTCCTGTCCCTGGATGATCTCTGAGAAATCCACACAGAAACAACAACAAAAAAAAAACAAGCTTGGGTAGAAGTGGTGGTACCCTTCTAAATCTCATTAATAGAATCAATACTTGTGTGTGTGTGTGTGTGTGTGCTGGCATTGGAGCTCAAACTCAGTGCCTGGAGCTCTTGCTTTTTTTGTTTTCCTGGGTCAAATCTCTGGTACTCTACCACTTAAGCCACAGATCTATTTCCAGCTTTTTGGTTGTTAATTGAAGATTAGAGTCTCATGGACTTTCTACCCAGCCTGACTTGGAACCTCAATCAGTAGATCTCAACCTTCTGAGTAGCTAGGATTATAGGCATGAAGCTACCGGTGTCTTGGTCACGTCTGGTTATTTGCTGGTTAACTACCAGTGTCCTGGTCACTTCTGGTTATTTGCTAGATAACTGGAGATAAGAATCTCATGGATTCTTCTGCTTTGAGCTGGCTTTGAGCCATGCTTCTAAGATCTCAGCCTTCTGATTACAGGCGTAAGTCATCAGCACCCAGCTTTAGAATCTATTCTTTGTTGATGTTTTAAAATCTACTTTAAATTGTGTCATCAACGTTTGAAAAAAATAAAAGAGGCCTTCCTGGGATTGTGAAAAACAGTGGGGCCACCTTACCGTCTCATGGAGAAATATGGCTTCAGCTCTGGGCCCAGGACTGTCCTGTGCCGTGCTTGGCCCTGCTTGGCCATCTGTTAGACCCTCCTCCACCTCCTTCTCCAACTTCTTCTCTAATTCCCTTGAATGCTGAGAGCTCAGGGAGGCTTTGGAGGTATTCTTCTCCAGAGGGGCATCTGGCTCCTGGGAAAGGCCCTGGCTACATTCCACTGTCCGGGAGGATTCTGAGGGAGTGCTGGCCTCAGGAGCTGCCTTCTTGGTGACAGGAGCTGCAGTGAAGATGACATGGTGAGTACCAAGAGTTCACATAGGGGACGCTGTTGCCAGCACAGCCCCTATCCTGCCTCCTGGCCCTGCTCCATGGGGATAAGAGGAAGGCCCAACTCACTGCCCCTCACCTTCTTTCCTCAGTTCCCCTGTCAGTGTCCAGCCTCAGGCCCCAGGTCACTGACTGCCAGAGATGAGAGGGTTCTGGAAGATCATCCATCCAGTTGTTGTTCTCAACAAGGAGGCATTTTACTCAGAACTCCTCCCTGTCCACTCAGGGAATATGGCAATGTCTAAAGAAACTTTGGTTGCCTTAATTTTGGGAGAGTTGAGTGCTTTAGTGCTTTGGCATCTAGCCAAATGCAGCTAAAATTTCTTCAATGGACAGACTGCCACAACAAAGAACCCAGCCCCAAATGCCAATAGTGCCCAATAAGAGAAATCCTGCTTTTACCAACTCTTTCACTTCACAAATGAATGCTCAGGCTCTGATAACTTGGTGCTTAGACAATCTCTCCCTCCTCCCATTTTCTTCCTTCCTTCCTTCCCTCCTTCCTTCCTTTCTCCTTTTTTTTTGTTGGTCGTGGGGTTTGAACTCTGGGCCTGGGTGCTGTCCCTGCGCTCTTCAGCTCAAGGTGAGTGTTCTACCTCTTGATCCACAGTGCCACTTCCAGTTTTTTTTCTGGTGGTTAATTGGAGAGATTAGAGTCTCACAGACTGCCTGAACTGGCTTTGAACCATGATCCTCAGATCTCAGCCTCCTGAGTAGCTGGGTTATAGGTGTGAGCCACAAGGACCAGGCTGAGCTGATACTGAGCTACCAGTATCATTACTTACGAAGGTGCCATCATCTTCTACCTTCATGACTGCCATCATAAGTTCCTTAGGACACAGCTAGTATCCAAGTGCTAAAAAGGGCCTGCTAATGACCTAGTTCTACAGCCCTCAGTCCTATCCACATGACCACAATGCCTATAAACCCTATTTTAGCCAATTCAAATGGCATTGTGGTTCACACCTATAATCCCAGCTACTCAAGAGGCTGAGATCTAAGGATCTGGGTTCAAAGCCAGCCCAGGCAGAAAAATTCTGTGAGACTCTTTTTTTTTTTTTTGGGTCCGGTTGTGGGGCCTGAACTCTGGCCCTGGGTGCTGTCCTTCAGCTCTTCAGCTCAAGGCTAGCGCTCTACCACTTGAGCCACAGTGCCACTTCCGGCTTTTTCCTTTTTGCTTATGTGGTGCTGAGGAATCGAACCCAGGGCCTCATGCATTGCAAGGCAAGCACTCTACCACTGAGCCACCTTCCCAGCCCCGTGAGACTCTTATTCCCAATTAATCAGCAAAAAGCAGGAAAGGGAGGTGTAGCTCAAGTGGTAAGGCACTAGCCTTGATTGGAAAAAGCTAAGGGACAGTGCCCAGGTCCTGATTTCAAGCCCTAGTACTGCCACAGAAACAAACAAAACCAACCAACAATAGCCACCAAGCCAAGTTCAAGTGTGGCTTTTCTGTCTTGCAATGAAAAGAGACTAACTCTGCCACGTTTTACCTGTGGAAGTCTCAGCCCCCTGGGGCTTCTCCTCTTCTGACCAAGCCCCACTCTCTGAACCCTGGAAAGAAAACTCTTCCAGGCTGGAGAGAGACTGCAGCTCCTTGGGGGGTGTTCGGCATGGGGTGCTGTTGGTGCTGATGACAGCGGACACGCGGAGGGGCACGGACACCGCAAAGGGCTCAGAGATGTTTAGCGCCTTGCGCTGGTGACGGGGCGAGGGCTCCATCTGGAAGAGGCTGCTGCTGAAGACAGACTTGCTGGGGCTGTCGTTGGAAGTGTAGAACATGCCGAGCATCTTAGGGGCTGTCTGCTCGCTCTCGGGGTCCTCGATCGGACGGAACACCTTCAGCTGCTCTGGTGGCGGCCGGACCTGAGTGCCCTGGGGTTGGCTTCTGTCGCTGCTCACATCGAAGCCCCCCTCTGCCCCTGCTGGCATCCCCTCCTGACACCACTCGCCTTCCTGCTTGCTGAGGTCACAGGAGCTGCCCGTGTTGTTCGAGTGCTTTTTTGAGGCTGGAATGAAAAATCCACCAGTGGTGACGGTTCGATGAAAATTGCCTTTGGTTTCTTTTCCTGCTGAAGAAAGGAGTCCAGGGTCAGTGTGTGGGCTCACCCAGCTGCGGCCCTAACCACCCCTCAATCCCCCTGTCCCAGAAGCAGGACATCTGAATACTAGAGAGTTGCTGCATTCCAGTAAAGGCACGGACCCAAACGAAGACAGGCACAGAGCATTCACTCGTGTGACTGAGAAAGCATTTTCTCACATGCACAGGACTTCAGCAGCTTTCCCTGGAAGGACCATTAACTATTATGCTCTAGGTATCAGTTTCCAACTTTACAAGGGGAGAGCTAAGATCGCCAAATGGGGCTAACACCTTCCAAGCATTAAATGCAGATCATAAGAGAAGAAAATGGACAGAGAAGAGGGGGGAGAACAATGTTTGCTCAAAAATGAAAACCAATCCAGCAAAACAATAGGATCTTTTTTTTTTTTGCTCACACTGGTGCTCTACCACTTGAACCATGTCCCCAGTCTTGGCTTTTTGCTGGTTAATTGGAGACAGGAGTCTCATAGACATTCCTTCCCTAGGATGTCTTTGAACTGTGATCATCAGATCTCACTCAGCCTCCTGAGTGGCTAGGATTATAGGCATGACCCACTAGCACCCAACTTGTACAGAAAGACCTAAGCAGGGTTTTATCTTCCCTACAAGTATATTATGTCTAAAATTCCGATGACTAACACTATAAGGGGATGTTTCATCATCTCCTTTAACTTATGAGGAAATGGACTAAAGAGACAAGATGACCTGCCCAAGCAGCCACGCAAATCACTGAGATGATACCAAAATATAAACCCTGTAAGCATTTTCCTAGGTTTCAAGGCCAGAGGAAATGGATGAACACACACATAAAAAATTCTAAGAGCATCAAACGAACTTACAAAGAACGCAGACAGGCAGACACTGGTGGTTTGGCCTGTAATCCTTAGTCAGGAGGCTGAGATCCAGAGGATCTCTGTTGGAGCCTAGTCCAGCGAGGAAAGTTTGCTAGACCCTATCTATAAAACAACTAGCAAAAGAGCAGGTCTGAACGCATAGGTCAAGTGATAGATTGCCTCAAACTTGTGAGTTTGAGGCCCTGAGATCATAACCCAGTGCCACCACTAATACTAATAATATTAATAATGTTCATCATCATCATCTCAGAGTATTTTACAGATTTGAACATTTTTTTTTGATGGTGGTGGGGGCTAACCTCTGGGCCTGGGCACTGTCCCTCAGCTCTTCAGCTCAAGGCTAGCGTCCTACCACTTAAGCCACATCGCTGTTTCCAGCTTTTTTCTGCTTATGTGGTGCTAAGGAATCGAACATAGGGCCTCATGCATGCTAGGCAAGCGCTCTACCACTGAGCCAACTTCCCAGCCCAAGAGGTGAACATTTTTGTTTTAAACATTTCTTTGTATCAAAAAGAAAAGTGTATCAACTATTATCTCCAGTTAAGCAGCAAAAGGCTGGAACTGGTGGTGAGTGAAAAAGCTGAGAATGAGTACAACATTTTGAGTTAAAGCTCCAGTACTAACATACCTTCCCTCCCAAAAAAGATATGACAGCGGGAGAGGGGTAAGATAAGTGGGAACAGAAGAGGCAAGTAGACCCTTGAGGTTAGATCTGTGTGAGCCAATATGCTTACACGTATCTTACATTCAACTCTTATGCATCTAACTCCAACAGAGGGTATTGTGTGCAAATGAACACATAGTGCCTGACACAGAAGAGGCGTCAAACTCAGGAGGTTGGGATCCAGGATCTTACTGGTAGATAATGAAGGAATGCATTTACCGATCCTAAACCATGCTTTGGCAAGCACTGTGAAGAGGTCAGGGAGGGACTGGGAACCAAGTGATCGTATGTGATCGCAACTGCAGATGAGCAGTTGGCAGCTTCATAAAACCAAGCCTGGGGTGAGTGCCAATCCCCAGCCTACACGCTAATTGTAAAATCTTACCTTCCACAGGCACTGAACACAGAGAGTCCATGCTTTTAGCTGGTCGAATAGCAGACTTTTCCACTAAAGACAAAAAGAAAAATATCGATGAATGCATATAATAGAAACCAACCCAGTGGCTCACATGGCTTAGGAGGCTGAGATCTGAGGATCGCTGTTAGAAGCTAGACCTTCTTGAAAGTCTGTGAGACTCTTCAATTAACCACTGAAAAAGCCAGAAGTAGAGCTGTGGCTCAAGTGGCACAGCACTAGCCTTGAGTGGAAAAGCTAGGTGATAGCACCCAGGCCCTGAGTTCAAACCCCAGTACCAGCACCAAAAGAAATAATAAAATAAAATAAAGCATTTAGAACACTAGGTCAGGGTGTCAAGCAATATAATTCTAGAGAAGTTTTTCAGGTATTTTAAGTTTATTCTCTTAGAAAACATCCTCTCACTAGACTCTAGATTTTCCTACTACCTTAGTGGGACTGACTTTATAGAAACAGGACATTCATTGATACAATTTCATGAATATTTTAAAAAGGTAAAGCATAATTTTGTCAAACAGTATTAGCTAATTCACTGACAAAAAATACTGAAGGTTGTCAGATGCCAGTGGCCCACGCCTGTAATCCTAGCTACTCAGGAGCCTGAGATCTGAGGATCAGGATTTGAAGACAACCCAGGGAAGAAAAGTCTGTGAGATTCCTGTCTTCAATGAACTACTCAGAAAAAGCTGGAAATGGTGCTGTGGCTCAAGTTGTAGAATGCTAACTTTGAGCACAAAGTGGGTCAGGGACAGGTCCTGAGTTCCTGCCCCAAGACTGGCATAAACGAAAAAACAAATATTTAAGGTTACTTTTCACAGCCATATGTCTAATAGCAAAAATGTAAACTACTTAATACCCAAATGTTGAAAAAAATCAAGGTTGAATCTGTTGGGCCCCCCCAACAGCTCCTCTTATTAGGCAGGTAGAATTCTTGGCTACGGTCGTAACTGTCAACACCTAGGAATTTGGTACAGTCAGATGAGAGGAACTTGGGTAACTGAGTCACCTTTCTTTCTAGAAGCAGCTCTGCTCCTTGAAGTCTGCAAACTCCTTGTCCCTCTAATAATCTCATTGACCAACATCTCCCTGGAACAGATCCCATCAAACTCAACTTTTTAGGATTATCCTATGCAGCTTTGTAAATGGTTATAGCCAAGTCTTGTAAAAATGTGGTCTAAATGAGTCAAACCTTATTCTAGGCACAACAATACCTAAGACACATGGTTTGAATGCTCCCCCTTTCCCTGTCCAGAAACTTCCTGGGTTGGAATCTTTAAGTCCTCAATATAAGCTGGGTGTGCTGGTGGCTCACGCCTGTAATCCTAGCTACTCAGGAGGCTGAGATCTGAGGATCGTGGAACAAAGCCAGCCCAGGCAAGAAAGTCCATGAGACTCTTATCTCCAATGAACTACTCAGAAAACCAGAAGCAGTGCTGTGGCTCAAGTGGTAGAGTGTTAGCCTACGCTGAAGAGCTGAGGGACAGTGCCCAGGCCCAGAGTTCAAGCCCCATGACCGACAAAAAAAAAAAAAAAAAAAAGCAATATAGCAGTGTTGGAAGGTCGGATCTGATGGGAGGTGTTTGGATCATGGGGATCCATCCCTGATAAGCTTTTTCTTGCAGGAATGGATTAACGATTGTGAGACTTGGGAGCCCTTTTCTCTCTTCTGCAAGCATTGGCTTTTATTCTGCTTTTCATTATGGAATGAAGTAACATAGAGCTTTCATCAGAAATAACGCAGGGGCCAGAGTCATGCTCACAGCCATCGTGACCTCTAGAACTGTGAGTCAAAATCAGTCCTCTGTCCTTCATAAATCACCCAGTCTTGGGTAGTCTCTTACAGAAACAGATAACAGAGGAAGACAGACATATTCACTAACACAATCTTTCTCTTTGAGGTCACTGAACTGACTGAAAAGCAGTTACTTCTGTCAGGCCTGTACAGAGGATAAACAGGGCAACTGTCCAGGACTGGAAGCCATTAATGTAACTAGATTCAGAGAGAGCTGAGTCTGAATCTCAACTTTGGCACATTGGGGCTATATAACCTCAGATAAAAGAAGCTTTCTTTTCTAAACTTCAGCTTTGTTCAGTGTAGAAGGAGGAATGTAGAGGACTAAATAAGTAATGACTATAAAGTATGTTTCATTTAAGAGAACAGAGGAGATACTCCACTGAAAGTAATACTGCCTTCATGTTGCTGCTGCTACTTAGAAACAGGATTTAGCAACACAGGGCAAGATGGGAGGTGTGTGTGTGTGTGTGTGTGTGTGTGTGTGTGTGTGCTGGGCTTGAACTCATGGGGTGTGTGTGTGTGTGTGCGTGCGCTGGGCTTGAACTCATGGGGTGTGTGTGTGTGTGTGTGTGTGTGTGTGCGCTGGGCTTGAACTCATGGGGTGTGTGTGTGTGTGTGTGTGCTGGGCTTGAACTCATGGAGTGTGTGTGTGTGTGAGTGTGTGTGTGTGTGTGTGTGTGTGCTGGGCTTGAACTCATGGTTGGGCGCTGTCCCAAAGCTATATTTGTTCAAGGCTAGTGCTCTACCACTGAAACCACAGCTTCACTTCTGGCTTTTTTTCTTTTGGGGATTAATTTAGAGATCAGAGTCTCATGAACTTTTCTGTCAGGGTGGCTTTGAACCCCAACCCTCAGATCTCAGCCTCCTGAGTAGCTAGGATTATAGGCGTGAGCCACTGGCACATGGCTGGGAGGTGGTTTTATAAGGATAAGTTGGGCTGCCCTTAACGCAACCTAGGCCATAACTTATTTGATTTTATTCTTTAGAGTATTCTTCTTTCTCCTTGTTCTGAACACTCCTCCTCCTAGGAGCCTTTGATAGTCCCTTGGCCTCCTCTGCTCAGAGACTGTCTTTGACTAGGACCTCAGATGAGGACACAATGGCTGATTCTTACCCGAGAGCCGCTGTCCTCTCACAAAGACACTCCCATTTCTACTCAGTTTTGATTTGGAATCTGACCCAGATCGTCCCAGGTTGAATATAGATTTCCACTTCTTTGATTTACTGGAAAGTTTTCTCCTGAAATAGTTAAGCCATGATTAGTTTAAATTTGTCATCCTACGCAATTTTCAAAGCAAGAAAGAAGATATAAATGGCTCTGATTATAAGATTATAAATGGCTCTGCTAGTTCAGAAAGGTCCTCACTAAAACCTAAGTTGAGCCTAACTCTCACCCTGTGTAGACAACTCTGCACCTGGCAGTAGCTGTGGTAAACTTGGTTGTCAAACATAGCATTTTTGTGTGTGTGTGCTGGTCCTGGGGTTTGAACTCAGAGCCTGGGAGCTATCCCGAACTTTATCAGCTGAAGGCTAGTGCTCTACCACTTGAGCCACAGCTCCACTCCTGGCTCTTTTAAGTGGTTAATTAAAGAGTCTCATAGACTTTCTTGCCCAGGCTGGCTTTGAACCATGATCCTCAGATATCAGCCTTCTGAATAGCTAGGATTACAGGTGTGAGCCACCAGCACCCAGCTCTGGTATTTTTTAAAAAAGGAATAAACATTGAGGACCACTGACCCTGGTCCTAGTCCTGTTATGCTCCTGGACACATTGTGGGAATAACCACATAGGAGGTGGGGGTTATAAGTCACCTTTGTGAATGCAAAGAGAAGGATGAGAAAGCCAACCTGGAGAGGACCCTGGCTTTGTGTAGCTGGAGAGAGGTGTAGCCTGGTAGGTGGGGTCAGTAGTCACTGCAGAGAGATGCAGAGGGGTCAGTGTGCCAGGGGCAGCCTGGACTGGGTGGGGGAGAGCCTGGCACCACAGAAACCAGCCCAGCTGCTGCTCTGCGCTGCCATGCAACTTTACCAAGAAGTTCAGTGTGACACTCTACAATGTGTGGGCCTCACCACGGACCTTCTCTTAGTGAGCTCTTATAGAAAGTTGGTTCACAGGTCTATGGTCATTCCAAACAAGTCTGCAGTGCTGTGTGTTTTCCTTTGACCTTGGCCTCTCTCCTCCTCCCCCCAGCACTTGGCTTTGCAGCGGATCACACACTACACGGGTCCTCTCACGATATTCTTCACTCTGATACCTGGGGAAAACTTTTATTCTCTGTTCCTTTGAGGAGAGGTACCATGGGTTCAGTTCCAGTGCACAAACCCCATCCTCTAGGAAATGGAGGGACTCCTCCCAGGGAAGTTCAGGCGTGCCATTCCTACAGCAGGGTGGCTGGTGCCTCCGGTAGTTGTAGAAGATGGAGACCTGCTTCCTCTCTCCCCAAGGGGAAGCAGCCACTCAGCTTTGGGAGGAGACGGAGAAGGCGCCTATTTGTATTACTTCTTTTCACTCACTGTCGATGACATCCTTCCAGGGAAAGATGGCTTGGTTCCTTCCTTACTGTTTTTGCCTACTATGGGACTCGGTGTTCCTACTTCAAACACTGTCTTCTTCCATAGCAAGGTGGGAGGAGGAAGAAGAGAGAAAGGAAGAATCTTCTTCCCATGCAAGTGATGCCTGATTAGTTTTGGGGGGAGGGAGGACTCTGACAAATGGGGAGGAGGGAAGGGAGTCAGGGATGCCGTTCTCAAGTGAGCCACCCAGAGTTCTATATTGACAGTGGTCTCATTTGTCAACTTCTTCTCTTATATTCAAAGTAATGTGGTGAGGTGTGGGGGAGGTTTGTTTTTAGTAAACTTCCCTTTGTAAATGTTAGGCCTATTTTGTCTAAGCCAAAGAAGTAAAAAACAAAAATTAAAATAAAAAAAATCACTGGGCACTGGTAACTCACTCCTGTAATCCTAGCTATTCAGGAGGCTGAGAGCTGAGGTTTTTGGTTTTAAAACCAGCCTAGGTAGAAAAGTCTAAGACTTTTTTTTTTTTTTTGTCGGTCGTGGGACTTGAACTCTGCGCCTGGGCGCTGTCCCTCAGTGCTTCAGCTCAAGGCAAGTGCTCTACCACTTCAGCCACAGCGCCACTTCTGGCTTTTTCTGTTTATGTGGTGCTGAGGAATCAAACTCAGGGCCTCATGCATGGGAGGCAAGCACTCTACCACTGAGCCACCTTCCTAGCCCCTAATATTTGTCTTTCTTGACTGGGCACCTGCATCCTGGTGCTTGGGGTTTTTGATGGCAGACTGCAGGGGTGCGGGGAGGGAGGAATCTCGGGGAGAAAGAGTTGTGATGATAGCTCCCTTTTCTTCAGCAACATTTATTTACACCCCGTCTCGACTGTAGCCCCAACCCACACTGCCGTCATGGCTCCCAAACTACCTACCCTCACCTCCTCTGGCTCCCTCCACCCACTTATCCCTCAGAATTAAAAAAACAAATGCTATGTACTTGCTATCTGGTAACTCAAGGACGGTGTGGAAGAGGGGGCCCATGGGAGGGACAATCTCAGGCAAGCTGTTCTCTCTCCTTTCTTTCCGAGCGGGGTGGTTTGTAGCCAGGTTGCGGGCCTGAGCCTCCTCCAGGCTCACCAACTTCATGGGTGATAATGCTGGCAGGGTCAGGCTCTTCATGATGGGCCGGTCATCTGTAAAGGAAGCAGAAGGGCTCAGTCTGGACAAAGCTAGCACAGTAGGTTCATCCAGATCTCTCATCCACAGCCCTGCCATCCTGACCTCTTTACAGCATTCTCTCTTCTTATCTTCAAGCGTTTTTTCGCTACTTCCTTTCCACAGGAAAGGACGCTTGGTCATGTCTGGAGACCTTTTTGTTTGTCATAAATACATGTGGGAAAACTACTGGTATCTTCGTAGGTGAAGGCCAAGGAAGCTGCTAGACACTACAGAATACACAGAAATGGCATCCGCTCTCCCCTCCAAGTATTATCTAGCAATAATGCCTCAGTGGAGAAATCCTGATCTAAAAAAAACAAGAAGTCTAAGTTGTATTCTATTTAGTCTCTGGTGGTATTGCCAATTTCTGCTAGCTTCTGAAGGCACAAAGAGACTGACGTTAACTCAGACCGATGGAGACTACAGAATAGCATGTGGTATAGGACTTTCCTGTGCTCAGATGTGGCTGGTTGGCACCTCTCTGGGTAGAAGGAATCGCAGTCACAGTAAAAAGCCTTGTAGATAGACAATTAAGACAGCATGTGATGGAGAGGTGCTTTTAGGGCAGAGAAGCCTGGCTGCTATTCTGCCGAATTGCAGTTAAATATACCCTGCTTACGTCCTTTGCTCCTGAACATGTTTCAATTAAGTTTCTGAATTAAACCCAGTTTTCCAACTTAACCCAAATGAAGTTAAGACTGTTGGAATTTACTTCCAATATTGTGAGATTCTAGATTATTTATTATTTGTTTCTGAAATGCTTCAAGTCACTCTGGAGTAATAGGGAAGAATCGACTAAGGGCCAGGAGGCTGAGGTGTAGTATCAACATCTACCTCAGGCTCCAGAGGAAGCCTGGAGCCAAGGTCCACTTGGCTTTGCTTAAATGAATAACACAAATTGCTAAGACAGATATTGTGATCTCTGTTCTCCACGCTGGCACTTCCCCTCTCACTGTCCTCCTATCAGCAGTCATGTTCCAACACCTTACTCATCTGCTTCTTCCACGTGTCCCTTCTCAAGATACAGCCCACAGCAAATCTTACGACTCTCCCTTCAATGTATATTGTGGACGCATCCACTTTCTTCCCTTCGGCTCGGCTAACATACTAGTACACTCACGTATTTCCCACTTGATTTCTGCAGTGGTTCCTTAATATATGGCTGGCCCAGTTTCCAGGCTGCCTTTCAGCTTTTCAGATCTACGCCCTCACGCTCAGATTTTGCACTGGCCTACGCACATGGCCTGAGATCTCCCTCCGCTTTCCTTCTCCTCTTTGCCTCTGGCCAGCAGTCTAATGAAAAATATACAATGAAAGCTTTTGTCTAGGCACTAAGGATTTACACCTCTAACTCGGGAGGATGAAATATGAGGATCACAGTTCAAACCCAGATCAGATCCCATAGGATCCAAGAGACTCTTATTTCCAGCTAAAAGCTAGAAGTGGAGGTATGGCTCATGTAGCAAAGCACTAGCCACCCAAATACTAGGGAGAAAAAGCTTCTGAACAAATATTCCCTTTATATATATGTATGCATGTATAAATCATGCATATAGTACTCAGTATAGAATAGAAAATGAATATACAATAAGACATTATAAAGTACAAGTACAAAATGAATGTTTCAAAACTCATAGTTTGGTACTCCCCAGGGTAGAATACCCCTGTACTGGAGACTACAAAAGCTCTTGCCACCCTGGCTTACTTTCTTCAATACTCAGAGCATCTTCACCTCAGAACATTCTACACCACGTCTTCTTTGTTTGAAGCACCCTCCCCCTCCCACTGCCAGGGCTTCACGTGACTGGTTCTCTGTGTTAGTCCAATAATCACCTCCTTAGAGACCATGATCCATTCTGTCCCAAAATAATACCTAAAGTCATTGGTGCTGCGCATCGGTGGCTCATGCTTGTAATCCTAGCTACTCAGGAGGCTGAAATTTACAGATTGTGGTTCAGAGCCAACCTGGGCAGGAACATCTGTGAGACTCTTATCTCCAATTAACCACCAGAAAACCTGAAGTGGCATTGTGGCTCAAATGGTAGAGCGCTCACCTTATTATGTATTGTATTGTCTTTGAAGTGATATTTGTTAAGATACATTGCTGGCCTTCCCAATTAAACAGTGGCTATAATTATGCAAGGCAGGGTCTTGGTCATTTGTGTCCCAGTGTCTAGGACTGCACTTGACATAAAGGAGGCATGCAGAATGTACTTATTTTAAAAAATAAATCTTGGCGATATCATAGCCTCTCTGGCCACAAATAAAAACACTGGATTTTTATGAGTCTCCTACAAAATTGGAGTTTGTACGTACAATCTTTTGCTGTCCTAGATTTCTGTTAGATGAGGTGTGTTTATTACTCTGGGAGAAACACACCTTTGGTGGTATATTTTCCGTTGGTGGCGCTATGCTGTTTACATTCTATCAGCACCTCATGACCCATTAAGTTGGTATTAAAGACTGAAGAAGTAGAACAAGAAAGGAACTAAAATTTATAGGTAGTTCAGTACATACCCTATGCATATTAAAGCAGAGGCTGGGCCCTGAGGATTGAGATTTTGTGTCCACATTCTCTCAGTTAAGCCATCTGCATTGGTTGCTAAGTGAAATGGGTTATTCAGATGAGTATACTGATTTCCCCAACTCTTTTAGCTGAACTAGAAAAGAAAGAACTAGCAAGCATCTTGAAGCTACAGTGCTCATACACCGCTGGTTCTCCAGGTGTGGACGCTGACCAGCGACATCAGCATTACCAGATGCACAAATATTACCAACATACCAGACCACTGTATTCCTGGCCAACTGAATCAGAAACTCTGGGGATGAGGTTAGGTAATGTGTGTTTTCACAAGATGCACTCCAGTGTTGGAAAACTACTCTCTCACACAAATGTCACATGCAGGAATCTTGATCAACTTGATTTCTGGATTCTTCAACTAGGCTCACAGGAGTTCAAGTAACATTATCCACTCACTCCCAGAGTTTCTCATGTCATCATGAGGTGCCCCAAACATACAAACATAATCATTTTTTGTATGTTTACTGATTGGTAACCAGGCAGCACCAAGTTAGTATTGAGGAAACACTCATGAAGAGAATGCATTCTGGGTATTTATGAGAGGGTGACCATACTACCTTATACTACCTCATTTCATTTAAAACTTTTGAAATATAATTTGTGCAAGGAAAAATGATATCTAATCAATACAGATCAAAATGTTGCCAATGTCTTTGCAAAATAACTCCAGAGAGGAAGGACTCATAAAACCTAATGGAACATTATGTCAACTCTACTTTTACATCCTATCAAACTCATAGGATAAGCCATGTACGTACACAACATACACATCATCAGCAGTAGAACCAAGCTCACCCTAGCTTATTTTTGGGGCCCCAGGACCAGAGCAATAGAGAAGAAGAGTTATGTCCCAGGAAGAGTCATTACCGTTGTTTTCCAGAGGCCCTGGAGCACCGTTGTTAAAGATTTGATCCACATGGTTCAGTATGAATTCAATCACCACCTGCTGGACCCGGACTGCTAGGAAGGCTGCATCTCCACTGCACCCACTGGCTTCGATTTCTTTAGACCTGACATGGAAGAAACATTTTCACAGAGTGAATCTGCCTTACAAGCAGAAACCTTAACAGGGACCAATGGTAGACATTCTAAATTCGTTAGTTAATTTGTAGATGATTTTAACTCCCTATGAAAGCTAAAGGGTCTCCTGAAAGTGTGAAGCTCAGCCCACTGAACAGACTTAGAACAGTTTCCAGGCAGTATGTACTGCAAGTCTGTAAGTAGAGACCCCAGAAAAGACTTCTTTTTCTTCATAGGATTTCCTTCCAACCCCCACCCTCCCACCCTCTACCACCCCAGCCAACTGTCCTGTGGGGCAGGTCATCATTTATAAAGTCACATGAAGCAGCTGATTCAAGTTCTAGCCAGCTGTGACCCCATCAAAGCCAAGAAAAGCCAATAAGCCCCAAAGACAAGAAAGGCCTTTTCAGAAAAATGACAGCATACAGACCCATAACTTTTATAGCCAACAAATGCCTTTGGAACCCAGAGTTTCCAAGTAGGCCAGCAAAGAACTTGGGTTGCTCAGATTACCTTGAAATTGTAAGTGCTATAAAAGATCATTTAGCTCCAACTTTGTCTTCAAGGGTTTCAACTTTGAAATACCTGTACTCCATTTCTATTGGTGGGCAGCTCTGACCCTGCAGGTGGTGAAAGGTGTGGCAGTTACCTCAGGAGGTTTGGAGCCCACACCAAGGCCAGGTTCCTGGCATGCATGTTGGTCCTGCTGCTGAAGGAGGCGATGTGGGTCAGGTGTCGAATCAAGTATTCCAAGGTCCTGCAATGGTTTATTGTATTACTATTGTTTTTTAATTTTTCAATAAAGTAAGCAACTGTAGTGGGCTGTGTGTGGCCTGACGTCTGGGGACCCATTTCTAAGGTTGGATTTAAGGGACTGTTTATATGGTACACATTTTGAAGGAATAATGTCAAGAAATCAAGACTAATGAATGCAATTTCCTTAGCCCTAGGCCCACTGGCCTGGGGTGGGAACAGGGCTGAACCTCTATCCCCAGCACCAGCCAGAGACTGAACCCAGGAATCCCAGACCTCAGAAGCTGGGGGTTCTTAGTCACCATTTGCTCCTCATTTTACACAAAACTGAATTATCTTCCCACAGTCTAGTTCACATCTAGGTTCTTACAAAGGTTCCTCAGATATATTAGAAGACAAAAGACTAAACAAGGGGAGAGAAATAGGAATAATGAAATAATGTTCAATCTATACTGTATCCATTGACAAAATAAATTCCCTTGTGTTATATTAATCTATAATTCATGTGTAATGAATTCAAATGTGTAACTAATGAAAAAATAACACAAAATCCAAAAATGTTTTCCTAGTTGCAACTAATTTGATGCTCATTTCATGGGCAAACATTATTGACTGCTCTGTTCTTTCTTCTATCTTATCACCAACTGCCTCTTTTTTTTTCTTTCTTTTCTTTTTTTTTGGGTCCGGTCATGGGGCCTGAACTCGGGGCCTGTGCGCTGTCCCTCAGCTCTTCAGCTCAAGGCTAGCACTCTACCACTTGAGCCACAGCGCCACTTCCGGCTTTTTTCTTTTTGCTTATGTGGTGCTGAGGAATCCAACCCAGGGCCTCAGGCATGCAAGGCAAGCGCTCTACCACTGAGCCACCGTCCCAGCCCAACTGCCTCTTTTTAAAAGGTGAGGAGGGGCAGGGATCACTGGGGAAAGTGGTAACATACTAGAGACGGCTAAGGACTGGTCACTAAAGAGTAAGTAGAGACATCTTTCAGCCAAGTGCTCAGTAGCCACACTCAGCTATCTGTGAAGGTCGTCTAGGTTTCTACAGATTTAGTTATGCTAGAATTCTATGTAAGAACCAAGGATGTCACTGTGAGACTAGCTTGTATGATCGGGATGACTTCCTGATTTATTCTGGTAATTCCTTTCCAAGTGACGTGGAGACAGATTACCCTTTACTGCCAGTACTCCTGGCTAAGGCACCAAATCACTCCCACAACAGTGACCTGTTAACTGAGAAATGCCACTATCCACTGAATTTGCTTCCTTTACCGTGTCACCTTCCTCCTTGACATCATATCATACCGAGAGCCTTACCTATAATGGGATGGAGGAAGCTTCTGGATAACATTTTGGATTCGGGCAAGTTGGCCTTCTTCTTGGCAATGTGACACTGCCTCCTGTGGAGAAGAGCATGAAGCATCCTAGTAAGTGCCTGGGAGCTAAGACACCCACCTGTGAGTGCTTGGTACTTGAGCCCTTGGTACTCCAGCCTCACAAACTCCAGCCTAGAGATCACCCTTGCATGTGGCAAGTTCTTCCCTGAATACAGTCAACCAACTACAATTTGTGAGGACTGGTTATGTGAAAAATCTCAGTGTGTGCTCACAAGGAGAGGCGGGCTGTTTGAGTCTCTAGGAGAAGAAAGCACATAAGCATCTGGGTGTGGCCTGCATGGTAGAAAGTGGCAGAGCCTCACATTTGGTGAGGTCAGAGACAGGGACAAAGTTGCATGGAGATGTCCCCGTGAATAGCATGAGTGGCTATTCAGCCAGCTGAGCAGGTGGGCATGACCAGCCATTCCCTACCTAGCAGTGACTCTTCTGTAACCTCAAGTTCTCTTCTACTGTCTGTCCTGGACGCCAAGAGGCAGGGAAGAGATACATGCTTTCCTTGGCAGGGATAAGAGCTTTCTCCCTGAGACCCCGTGGCTTTACAACAAAACTTGCTCTCTGGGGCCGGGAAGGTGGCTCAGTGGTAGAGTGTTTGCCTTGCATGCATGAGGCCCTGGGTTTGATTCCTCAGCCCCACATAAGCAGAAAAACCTGGAAGTGGCGTTGTGGTTCAAGTGGTAGAGCGCTAGGCTTGTGCGGAAGAACTGAGGGACAGTGCCCAGGCCCAGAGTTTAGGCCCCACGACTGACCAAAACAAAAGACAAAAAAAAAACTTGCTCTCTGGTTATTTCCTGTATGTGTATTTTGTTCCCACATCATCCCAGGCCTCCTGGGGGGTGGTAGGGGAGGAAGGCAGTGTGATGACAGGTTGGCTGACATTTATCTCGCACCTGCTTTAGGTTGCTGCACAGCACGGGCATTCTTGGGAAGGTTCTCGAGCCATGTGACTATCCTGAGAGTCTGTCCTGCTGGTGGCCTGGGTCTCAGGTCTCTCTAGGGTAATGCCAACAGGAACATACCACTGGAGTCCAAGGCAATGGTAATGACACCCATTTTGGACTTGTTTTTGAGACAGGGTCTCCCTGTGTAGGTATCCCATGCTGGCTTGGAGCTGTGATTCTCCTGCCTGGTCCCTCTGTGTGCTGGGGTTAACAGGCATGTGCCATCACATCCAGCACGTCATTTTTCTTTAATTGGTATAATTTACATATGTTAGTAATATCATTTACACAATTAGTAATAGATGGATTAGAAATGTGCAATGCTTAAGTTAAGATCTATGAGTGGTTTTCCTAGATACATACTTGGATAGTCCCAGCTAGACTGAGATATACTTTAATAGAAGCTCCTGAACTCACATTTTTCTGGTCTTGAGTTCACAGGTATTTGTGACCGACAGTCTTATATTTTCCTCCTGGTGCTGCAAGCTTCCTTTATAGTTGTATGCAATGCCAGGAATAATCATCAAATATATTCTTTTGTGTGTGCTGGTACTAGGCCTTGAATTCAAGGACTCACACTCTCACTTGGCATTTTCTTCCCTTCAGGCTGGTGTACTAACCACTTGAGTCATGCCTCCACTTCCAGATTTTTTTCTAGTTAAATAAGCTTTGACCTGGCTGGCTTCAAATCTCAATTCTCAGACTGTAGACTTTTGAATAGCTAGGATTACAAGCATGACTAGTGCCCAGTTCAAATACCTGCTTTAATTTGGTAAGTACTACAAACTACAATACACGCAAAGATGAGAGTCTAATGTATGTGTTTTGTATATTGTTCACCTTTATTTGATCCTATCATTTTCTGGCTTGTGTTTAAATGCTAAAGTTCACTCTGAGTTTTGGTGCATTAATTATTCATGAACATAGACAGGCAAACAATTACAGCCAGCATCTGCTGTTTTCCAGGTCCCATTCTCCTGACAGGAAAAGTCCAGGGATTGGCCCAGCCTGGATCTTCTGTCCCTCTCCCCACCCTCTGTTACTGATGGCTTCTCCTTTCTTAAAATGGAAGCTCTGTAAGCTAAGAGATGTAATGAGTCCATGTTTAAAACAGTGCCTGGCTTCCAAAAGTTGCCTATACCTGAAGCATCATGTCAGGGTTTGGGCTATCAAGGTTTTGTGTTGTTTTCTTCCTGAGATTGGGCTTTGTTATCTAACCCTTAAACTTCTGTCTCAACCTCCAGAGAGCAGGAATCATGAGAATATGTCACCATCTTCTGACCCCTTTTACTTTTTATGCCTATCCTAACTCTTAAACTCAGAACTAAATCTGCCTGGGGTGCAGCTGGAAGAGAGAGATCTTCCAGGACCACAGTTGGGGTACTGTCCAAGTAATGGAATCTGAGCTTCCACGAAAGAGTAGCTTTGGGGAAAACAGAACAACCCAGAGCAAGGCCTTGCCATCAAGGTGAAGGTTTAGCAGGTAACGGCTCACCTCTGAAATTCTAGCTACTCAGGAGGCTGAGATCTGAGGATCTTTTTTGTTGTTGTTGTTGTTTGTGGAACTTGAACTCAGGGTCTGGATTCTGCCCTTGAATCTCTTTGTGCTCAAGGCTAGTGCTCTACCACTTGAACCACAGTAGCACTTCCTGAGGATCAAGTTTGGAAGCCACACCAGTCAGATGAATCTGTGAGACTCTTGTTTCCAATTAGCCAGCAAAAAGCTGGCCTTACTGATACCAAGCAAGGATGCAGTACAAATAATCACAGATTCATCCTAGCTCTTTTAAGATTTGAACATCAGCCAGATTGGCCCGGTTTAGTGTTGAGTGAAACTCTCTTCCAGCCAGAAAATAAGGGTGGGGAAATTTTCACCTTCCCTCCTGTACTTGTCTAACATAAGATCTCCTATCCCAGTGGGAGAACACGAAGCTAAAAATAACTTTGCAGTGACTAGACCCCTCCAGAAGGAAAAAAAAATAAGAATTAGGCTCTAAAGAGCTGTGGATGGGATAAGATGGGGGTCGGATGGAGAGAGCTGGAGAAGAAATACATGAAATAAACCAATCCCAACTGGGACCTGCCGGCCTCAGAGGATGGGCCTGCCCTTGCACTTTCAGAAAACAAAGATATTAACAGCTTCCTAAAGTATTAAAGGAACTTTCCATGAGAACTACACCTTTATTCCCCAAACACATTAAAAAAAAAAAAACCCCGGGGAGTGGAGCAAAGATTTGTGCAGCTTGATCCTGGCGAGGCAGTGGGAAGAGGTCTCAGAGCCTCCTTCTGGGCTTTATTGGCCGCCTCCTGCTTCCTGTCCCCTCCCTATCCCAGAGTCTCAGCCTGGCTTCCCTTTACTGGGGCTCTCCTTGCCTGGCAGAGGCCCAGAGGTACTCCACAGCCCTGTTTTCTGAATATGGCCTCTGAGGAAGAGAAGGGAGGTGTCTAGGTGTTCCTAGAAGGCCGTGGCCTGACCCTCCTCATCCGTGTGTCTCACAAAGGCAGGACAATAGCAAGAGTCCCTTGCTTCTTAGCAAACCCTCCAGAAGATTGGGACACCCCTGACTATAACACCCACCCTGTTCCCCCATTCTGCTGAGGGAAAGAGACCTCAAGCTCTCCCTATGGCAAATTGTGCTACCTTTTATTAAAGTAGCCAGCTTCAGCAGGGCACCAGTGGCTCATGCTTATAATCCTAGCTACTCAGGGAGGCTGAGATCTGAGGGTTGCTGTTCCAAGCCAGCGCAGGCAGGAAAGTCTATGAGAGTCACATTTCAAATTAACTACCAAAAAGCTAGCTGTGGCTCAAGGATAGAGTGCTAGCATTGAACACTGAAGCTCAGACACAGCACCCAGGCACTGAATTCAAGCTCCAGGATCAGCCAAAAAACAAGCCAGCAAACAAACAAAAAACACAGGAGGCTAAGATCTGAGGATCACAGTTCTAGCCAACTCAGGCAGGAAAGTCCATGAGACTCTTATCTCCAGTACACTACTCAGAAAAAGCTCGAAGTGGTGCTGTGGCTCAAGTGGTAGAGCACAAGCCTTAAGCACAAAATGGCTCAGTGACAGCACTAGGCTCTGAGTTCAAGCCCTAGGACCAGCAAAAAATAAAAATAAAATAAAATTAAAAAGGTGGGGGTGGGGAGAGGAGGGAAGGAGCTGGGCATCAGTGGCCATAACTGTCATCCTAGCTATTCCGAAGGCTGAAATCTGAGGATTGAGATTAGAAGCCCGCTGGGGCAGGAAAAGTCTATGAGACCCTTATTTCCAATAACCTAAAAAAAAAAAGCCAGAAGTAGAACTGTCGTGTAAGTGACAGAACATTCATCTTACTTAAAAATCATAAAAACAGTTTACACAATATACACAAAAATCTGTGCATATAATTTTTTTTAAAAAGCAATTCATAAAATAAAATACACAGATGAAAGTCAGTTTTATACACATTCTCTTTCCTACCTGAAGAAACGAGCACCAGAAATGACAGGGTTGTCTGTGAATTCCTCTGCCCCTCCTCCCAATGTAGCCCCTGGCTTGCTCTGTACTAGCCACACTGGCTTTCCTGCAGCTCAGCACACACACTCCAACGGGGTCTTGGCATCTGCTGTTTCTTCCTGTCACCCTCTTTACTTAGATAGGATCACAGTCGGTTCCTACACTTTACCCTTGCCTGTTTAAATGCTGCTTCATAGAGCTGCCTCTGATTATCCTACCTAAAATAGCAATCTCTCTCCAGCACTGGGAGAGAGGACTTATCAACAGTTCTCACTAGAGATCTACGGTCTCTCTCTCCTCCACTGAAATGCAAGACACACTAAAGCAAGGATGGTATCTATTATTGTTTATTATGAAATCTGCCATCTGTGGAGCTATGCCTGCCAAGGGCATGTATAGGTGCTTTCCTACTCCCATCTCCCTTACTAAACACATTTGTGGAGTAAGTGAATGAGTCAATGAATAAGTGAATGAGTCAATATCTTGCTTTATGCTTGACCAGGTACATTCTCAACATGTTTCTAGGACAATTCTCTGCCCGAGATGATTTCCCATTTGTGATCGATG